AGTTATCTGTAATTTAGGTTTTTGTCCGCAAGACAAGCTGCTGCAAACTGATCGACAACCCTACATCTTTTTTTTTTTCGTTTTTGATTTAAAGAATAAAGTTTCTTTCATGACATGATTAATTTGTGTTTTTGTGTGGCATTTTGTTATCAGTGTCTTCCTATACAAAGTGATAATTGAGTGTTACAAATATCATTAACATGCAAAACGTAGAGGATAGAGTTCTGCTTTCAAACACGAACAAAAATATCTCTGAAATTATTAATTACGGTAGTAAATGAAATCAGCAACAAAGCAGGCCTTGACATAATCGCTATAACCCGCCCCCCCCACACACACACACAACAAAAACCACCAAAAAAAAAATAATTGTGAAATGGTAATGGATTAACGCCTCTGTCAACACTATTACATTATTTGAGAGGCTGGATTTACAAGTTAAACGTCCATCTCCGAAAGTACCGAGCCAAATGGGAATTCTGTGTAAAGTACCTTTCCCCAAGGACACAACGTCGGACCGAGCTGAGGCTCAAACCCCGAACCCGCAACCTCATGTTTACGAGCTCAGTAGCCCAACCACTAGACTACCAACGCCCACCCTCCCCTCCATAAAACCCCCCAAAAAAACCAAACCCAATAGTCACATCAAGATAATTTTTATCTAGCAAAACTATAGACATAATCATAGATGGGGAGAGAACAAAGCAAGCACATCAATTTAAACATCTGTGGGCAACGAAAACAGACGTTGCCTGAAGCAAAAAAGAAAAAAAAAAGAAATAAACATAGGAACAGCAAATGCAAAAGTAGTAATATTCAGCCAAATGCATTAGCTACTTTCATCCCAGCAATCATCTTAACCCTCTCGGAAGAAATTGGTGGAGTGCTACATCTTCCACATTTTCCTATACGGTTCAGAGACCTGGACTTTAGCAAAAGAAGAAGAAAACAAAATGTGAGGCATCGCAGTGAAATCAGGCGCTCGTCAAAATAATGAAATCGAAGATATTGGCATTTTTCTGACTATTTGTCAGTTTTTATCAAATTCTTGGTTTTTGGCTCAACGCATTTATCTCCATTTTAAAACACCAAAAAATTTATTTGTTGTTTTTTCGGAAAAACGTTGTGAGGCACACAAAAAAAATGCAAATGTGCATTTTCAGTTTCCAATGACTCTCAAGCTTAGGAAGTCACATATGTTTGGCAACCATTTTCTTGCTGATTTTATCACTAAAATCAGGTAACCCCCACCTCCTTTAAACGCAAATACCTCTACTTTTTTCAAGTAAAATGGATATTTTTTTCATAAAAAGATAAACAAATGAACACACTGCTCAAAAACCTAAAGAGCGCTTGATTCCACCGCGTTGAGCTACACGTCTGCGTTTTTTGAATGTGCTACGACCTTAGATAGAAGGGCCAGAATTAACTGGAAAGAAACCCCCCCCCAAAAAAAAAAACACAAAAAAACAAAAGACTAACATTGAGGCGTTCCAGATTTTTCACAAAAGACAAACCCTAATCAGCAAAATGAAAAGTATTTGGGCGTACAAAAAGCCACCAGACCAGTACGCCATCCTGATGCAAGCATCAGAGGGCCAGCCCACCATTTACTCATTTGATATAGCATTGGACTGTGCTGCTGATAAGCGTGGCTCGAATCCCCTCTGTAGCTTACTTGAACTCTGAATGTTTTTAGTTTAGTTTTAGTAAAGGTTTTACGGCTCTCGCAACTGCATAAGGTTATATGAGCACCAGGAGATTAAAAGTGTTACAAGAGAGTAACAAACATAAAAAAGAAGAAGGGGAGATAAGGACGATAGATGTTTGATAGGAAAGAAGAAGCAAACCACATCAGAGCACCCGCCAACCACCCACCTGAATGTTTAGGAAATTTTCAAACCTTAATTTTTCTTGGTCGGTTCAATTCGAAATGGAACTTGTATTCAGAGGTCCCTCTTACTACTTAGTTTTTTTCTGTTTTATTAAGATTTTTATGGTGCTTGTATGTGACAATATCAGGTAATATAAGAGCCACAGATTAGGCGTATTACCACAGAGTAACATACAAAGAAAAGAAAGAGTATATAATGATGATAATGATAGATGTTTAATAGGAAATAAGGAGCAAACCACTCCAGCTGGAGCGCCTGCCAACTAACCATTTCTTCTTTTTTTAATAACTCTTAAAATGTTGAAAGGAGTGTTTAACTAATTCTATAACTCACCCCCTCCCTCCCCCCAAAAAAATGTTTAAAAAAAATTAATTATAATATTTTTCGAAAAAAGAAACAAAAATCAAAATCAAAATGAAAGCAAAAACAACATCAACCCAAAAAAAAACAAATAAAGCCAAAAACAACCCCCCCCCCAAGAAAGAAATAACAACAACACAAGAGCCATCCATGCCGTTCAAACCAGCCCGTCTTTTTATTTACAAAGTACATTTCGTTCGTGAATTCTGATTTCAACATCTTTATCATGAACATTTTCTTTCAACTTCGGTAGTCATAATAAACTGTTTTTTCAAAGACTGGCTAAATGGAAGAGTGTTTTGTATCTCTGTTTTTCTTGAGAACGGAAGACAAGAGGTTAAGTCTAATTTTATATAATAACATGATTATACTTTTGTGCATGTAAAGAGGTGAGGAAAGAAGGAAAAAAAAATCCTGAGCAAAGGAGAGTAAAGTTTATGATGAAAAATTGAAAAAAAAAAACCCACGTTTTTTTTTAATACGG